TATGTACCCGATTAGTTAGAACGTTCGCTTTCTGACCATTAAACCCGGATTAGAACCTCGCCATGGCTGATCAGGAAGGTGACTTTGTTATCGGTCTGGGAAGGCGAGCTCAGCGTGTGGCGTCGTTGGAAAGTATCTGAAAACCATACTCCACTAGTTGACCCAAGCCTTGTAAGTGAAATTGGGTGAGCAGAATTGTTCTCCGATAGTTGTGCTCACAAGTAATCTTGACCGACGGTTTGAGCGTACTGGCTTTTTTCAAACTGTCGATCACCTCAGGTGGGCTCTGTGGGCGTTGAGGAAATGCAAATGTGCAAATGAGCAGGTACCTGCAACAGGGATTGGCTAGCCGCCCTAGCAGACAAGCATACTCGGAAACGAGAGCTCAATCATGTAATGTAATGTATGTATGAATATAATGTAATGTATATATGCAATTTAATGTATGTAATAGAATGTATGTATGTAATGGAATGGAATGTATGTATTGTATTGTATTGTATTGTATGTAATGTATTATATTGTACGTATTGTATGTAGTCGAGGAGAGATTTAAAATGTGCAGTAACGAAAAGATAACGTCATTGAGAAAGAAGCCCATTTTTTCTATTTGATTTTTGCAAATCAAGAACAATTTTATGAAAAGCTGTCTTCAGGTATTTGGAACACTATTTCTACGAGGACCTGTATTTTATGTCTACTCAAACAGGTGTACCCACTTAATATAACGTTTATAATAAGTAAGGTCGGATTTAAAAGAATCCATTAATTGATTAAAAATAACTAGGGATTATCCAAAAATTCGAACAAATTGATCAAATTATTTATAGTTTCTGGTATCTCGCTGAATCAATAAATCCCTCCTCCAAAAAAATTTATTCTTTAGTTTTTATCCTTTCTCTGAGGAAACTTACTCGTCGAGCGCCTTAAGTTTTGTGTAGAAATTCGTATGCAAACACATTTTATATTATATTATTATGACCTAATATGGAAGGCAAGAGGATCAGAGAGAAATATCCTGTAATCTAACTAATGACCTTGTGTAAATGGATGAAAGAAAAGCAATTGGGATGGAATAGTAAAAAGAAAAAAAAACATTGCTACGAACTACAGAATATATGAAATTGTGAAGAGCTGTGATTGCCTAAGTCATGAAAGAACACAGCACAATAGAAGAAAAATAAATTCCCAAAAGAGAGATCATAAAGGCTTTCTCACGTCTGTTGCAGGTCTAGGGAGGCCCACACAGACAAGATGAGTTTTTTTCTGCAACAGCTGGAGGAGAACGTATGGTAGCCGGAACGTCTTCTGCTTTTACAACACTATCCTTTCATTCTGCTCTTATGCTGCGGCTTGATTCGGAAAAGGATGGTAGCTGGTACACTTTACCTCAATATGTTTCCTCATTGGCAGCTTATGTTACCTATTGGCTGTAGTTGATTCTACAGCGGGATGGCGTACTTTTTTTTGTCAAAGCGTACTTGTATCCCTTCGGTTGTGCTTCCCATTGAAGCCTGCACAAAGACAAATTCACCAACAGGAGAATCTTTGAATGCTTGTCTTCTATTCCCATTACATGCCTGAACATTCTAGTAGGCTAAGACCATTTTTGTTTTTAAATTAGTTAATCCAATTAATTGAATTGTTATTTGTTTAACGCTCGTTATAATTGTACAATGAGAGGAACGCTGAAGATGTGGGAACGGTAAATATTAAATTTGAATTTCTGGACTACGATGTGTCAACCGACATACTAACGCTTTTGTTTTTATCACTGTTTGTAAATTATCCAATATTGTAATAGCAGAAGATATGCTAACAAAGATATAATTCATGGGTGACTCGGAAATTAGTACACTTTCTATACATTTTACCATATTAAATTCCTTTCTGTTTAATTAAAACTGCATTATTTAAGTAAAAATTAGAGTCATATTCATTAAGGTGAATATCTAATGAATTGAGCATGTTTTGTAAAAGATCCGTTTTATCTTTGTATTTTATTTAAAGTTGTTTAACGTTAAAGATTGGCGTCCCTATATCTTCAAGCGTTCCTCTGGATGTATAATTTTGCCTAACATTTTGTTTTTTCGTCCCTTCTAGGATATATATATATATATATATATATATATATATATATATATATATATATATATATATATATATATATGTACAAACACACACACACACACACACAGTGATTGAGATGTAACTACCCATTTTAAAATACTTATAATTTATTTATTAACTATAATTTTTACAAGAAGTGGATATTAAATGAAAGCGTTTAGAATGAGGTTTTATTTAAAATTCGATATGAGCACCAGATTTCGCTACCAGCGTCAACTGATTTCACAAGGAATATAACTTCTTGTATTCGCTCTTCAAGTTCTTCCAAAGTCTTGTTTTGGCATAGAAGACTTACTCCTTTAACCAAAGCTAAAGTAAAAATTACAGGGTATTAATTCAAGACTCCTGACTGGCCAACCATACATAAAATAGTTACTTTTCATTCACCCTGAATATTCTATCAAGAATATTCTAGTCTGAAGCCATGTCATTCAATTACTCACCATTAGTTCCAAATATCTCCAATAATGAGTATAAAATATTTATTTTACACCTATTACCGCATTGGTAGTATTTATGGGAGAGTGGTTTAACCACTAACTTACTCTCCTCGTCAACTGACATGGCACTTTGATAAAGATTTATCACGATAAGTTAGCGAATGGAGGTGTATATATATCCATGCCTTTCCTAAGAAACTTAGTGCTTTTTAAAGATAGGCAACCTCAGCCTAAATTCAAACTGTATGCTAATATCATTTTTCGTATGTTGAGAGTAGGTTGCACGAAAGAACCTTATTGAGCATTCATGAACACTCTCCCGTGGGGTTACTCAGTTGTCAGTGAGACGCCAGTGAATGAGCTTGTGTATTGGGTGAGAATAGGTATCAACTTTTGCCTAAAACTTGGACATCTGTCCGCGTAAATTATTCGAATGATTTAGATGGATTTGGGGATGATTTTAATGGCTGCAGTCCAGATATAATTTTGGTACTGACACTTGGAAGTTGTCCAAGAATCAGTTGAAACCGTTTCCGTTCTGGAAGGCCTTTTAACAAACAGAAAACGCTGAACATGACAAATCTGCAATGGAAGGAAATCGGTAATTGGCAGTGAAAGAATCATAGATCCTGGGATTTCACACACTACTCGGAAAGTATCTAGACATTTTGAATATTTCCACTGCGCATTTAAACATCGTTGCGAAACCTGAACATTGAAAATTCCCGATGTGAATATATTTAAGACAACATACTACAGGCGTGCAGTAGGCAGCAGCTTGATGGGCCAAGGAGCAAGCGAGTGGGCCATGAAAAATGGAACAGAGGCAGTTGGTAGCAACCATTTTCTTCTATGTGCCGTGTCCTTACAGGACGTTTTAGATCATGGCTCTCCACAATTTTTTTTTTTTGTAGGTCTTAATGAATTTGGTATTTTTGCCATCTCTCTCAAACCCCGCGTTGTGATCATAAGGAAGCCAAAACCTGTAGCATGTTGTCTTAAATATATTCATACCGGGAATTTTCAATGTTCAGGTTTCGCAACGATGTTTAAATGCGCAGTGGAAATATTCAAAATGTCTAGATACTTTCCGAGTAGTGTGTGAAATCCCAGGATCTATGATTCTTTCACCGCCAATTACCGATTTCCTTTAATTGCAGGCCCACATGTTCAGCGTTTTCTGTTTGTTAAAAGGCCTTCCAGAACGGAAACGGTTTCAACAAGGCTAATACCCTCTTCACTCACATCGATAGCAGGAGACAGAGAGGAAGACAAAAGCAACACTAGACTGATGACACCAGAGGCTGAATAGGAGGAGCGCTGGCGGAGGTCATGGTCGTAGTGAGAGAGAAAGAGAGAGAGAGAGAAAGAGAGAGAGAGCACAGTAGAGTCCATTGGTGCAATTGTCCATAGACCCCCAACCATCGGCAATTGGTAGAAGCAAAGTAAGTCTAATCATCAAGGTCTCTCAGTTCCATCTATTTGATTCCCTAGTTTTCTGACTTTGTGGAAAGTTGAAAAGAAAGACATTTCAGAGAATGAACTAAATGCAGGAGAACGAGAAGAGGCTGCTGATGGAGATCCTAAGGTAGACTGTGTAGACAGTAGCAAGGATTGCGTGAGGGCCATACTTTGAAGAGGACTAAAACGCCAGTGTCCGATTGCTGGATCCTTTTCAGACAAACTATGACAACACATCAACAATTACATGTAAACGTTAAAGAAAATATTTAAACAGTAGCTTGAAGTTCAAAACGGCAATTTACAAAATAGAATTTTAATTTGAGTAGACTGACTCATTGTACAGATATTACTTCAAAGTTCATAATAAACCTAACTTTTTAAATGTAAGCTAAAGTAGTCAAGTATGGAAAGCTTTAAAATCTCTATTGTATTTAAGTCATTTTTTTTAATGCGGTGTATTGATTCTAAGTGTCTTTGAAATGAATGTTTCCAGTCAGAAAATTACTTAATGAAAATAATCAAATAGAAATAATGTTTTGTAAAACTGAAAACGTCACTTTAGACAAGAGAGGGAGAAAGAGTAAGGAAATTAGTGGTTGGTTTAAGAGCCAGAAAGTATATTTCTGTCTGCTTCACTCTCTCACTCTCTCTCTCTCTCTCACTCTCACACTTTCCCACTCTGACTCTCACACTTTCCCTCTCTCACACTTTCCCTCTCTCACACTTTAAAACATTCCTACTCTGACTCTCACACTTTCCCTCTCTCACACTTTTCCTCTCTCACACTTTCCCTCTCTCACACTTTAAAACTTTCCTACTCTGACTCTCACACTTTCCCAATCTGACTCTCACACTTTCCCTCTCTCACACTTTCCCTCTCTCACACTTTCCTTCACTCTCAATCTCTCTCACTCTCTCTCTATCTCTCTCTCACTTTCTATCTCACTCTCTATCGCTCATACCAACATGCGTACCCCTATCTCTCACACTTCCCTCTCTCTCTCTATCTCTCTCACTCTCTCTCATTCCCTTCCTATCTCTCTCTCTCTCTATCTCTCTCACTCTCTCTATCTATCTATATCATTCCCTCTCTATCTCTCTCTATCTCTCTCTCACTCTCTCTCTCTATCTCTCATACACACATGCGTACCATCTCTCGTACGCTCACATGCAACATGTCAATGAAAAAGCAAACAGAAAAGCCAGTACGAAATGAAGGAAATGTTGAATCTGTCCTATCATGTGCACGTCTATGGCTTTAGAACTGAGAATCATATCTGCTTATTAAAATGGATTCCATAAGAATAGCACAAGAAGTGCACTCTGCAGACAATATTGGGAAACTTTAGAGAAGATTTTTAAAATATGGAAACAAAAATTGTATATTATGCTGAATTAAAAAAAAAAACGATATTCAGTATTTTAGACTTTTCCTTTTTTTTTTTAGTTTTTGAATGGGCATTTATCATGGTTCTCTCTTCATTTATTTATTTCTGCTCCCATGCGTATCTCTCAAAAAATAAATTAAATAGAGATAAAATAAGTTTAGGAGTTTTTCAGGGGTCTAATTAATAAATACATACAATTTGTCGACTGTATAATTTGTCACCGGCGTGAAAGTAGCAAGCCTATAAACAGTAACATTAAAATTTGTCAACTATGAAATAGATCACTGGTTTTCTATAATTGCTTTTTTTTTCTTTTTTTTTTTTTACAAACACTAATTTATTTCCCTTTATTGCAGCTCTGTTAATATGAACAGGTGAAAGATATTACTACTACTACTTAATAATAATAATAATAATATTAATGTGCAGGTACCGCAAAATCTTCTTCACTTCAAATCCTTATGACTAACAAATACATTTTTCACAAACCTATTCTACTACTTGATGACGCAGATTCTGTAAATGTTACACTATGCACAGAAGGTGAATTCAACGTGCTCAATAATCACTCGCTATGAATTAAATAGACTTGCATTGAAGTCGCAACCAATCTAGGAGAAGGAAAAACAAAACAAAACAATTATTCGGATTATTGTCCTCATCTTTGTCGCCATATTTATTACGTTTGTACGCTCCGGCCTTCTTCAGGTGGTTGAAATGTCGAACTGAACCCTTTATTTCGCTCACTGGGGTAGACTGTTCTAGTTCCACATGCCATGTTTGATGGATCTCAGTTATCAGTTATCTCCTGTTAATTTCCCTCTGAAAGTTCTCCACTGCCTTAACCGGGTATTGAACTCACACTCTTTCGATCCTGTCACTGGATCTAATCAACGCCTTTATCCACTTTGTCCATGAGGACATCTGTGTATGAATTTCTGGGTATTATAAACATAATGTCTTCAGCAACCATTTTTACCAGTGTTTTACAAAACAAACCAAAAAAAAAAAAAAAAAAACTTGAAGTGAGATGGGCTCCTTAAGGCCCAAGACATACCACTGTGGTTATAACTACAATATATATGGTGACCCTTCGACATATGAGCTACGATTGTACCATGACATTTATAAATTTAGAATCAAACGATAAATGTTAACACATAATAATTTTAGTTGTTCAGATGAACTCTTCACTTTGAATTTAAGTGCAGTACTACTCTAGCGTCGACACCATTCAAAATTTAAAGTTGATTGAATTAGATGAATATAAGTTTTATGTTAATAGCCTGATTTTCCCGCATTAGAAATTTTTGAGACTGGGAACGGGTTCCAAAATTTCCAGTCAACTTTAATCTGTAAAAATTTCAAATGATAAATGTCAAAAAAACATACTTTAAAAATTTTGTTTTTTTAATTTTCTCTTTTTTAGTAATGTTTTGAAAATAATTATCCCACATCCAGTAACCCCTTGTGTCTTAAGTGGCTTTACTGCCTTGCTTTAGGTTAAAGCGATTAAAAAAAATTATATTTCATAACTATTTCACTATTTATAATTATTTCTTTATATTGTTCAAATTTATCTCCCCTTTGCATATGACATATTCACTTAATATTTTCCTATTTTTTTTTCCGCATTTTTAAAACTATCAAAAATATAGGAAGTTATTATAGTTAATTGATATTTTTTCTTAGAAAGTCAACAAAAGAGTGGAAGTTCATCCACTGGGTTCATAGAGACATGAAAGAAAGATTTTTTTTTTTTTGTAAATCATAAAAAATCTCCATAAAGAATTTATAAATTTGATAAATGAAACAAAATTAGCAACGATATTTCCATGATTTTCGTTGAAATTAATGTCAGAGTAATCTTAGATTGGATTGGCTTGTTTATAATTTCAACATTTGACTATTAGGGATTTATATTTGAGTTAAATAAAACGGTTACTAAATGTCAAAAGAAATAGTCATTTAGTTTTGAACTGAATTTTAAAATTTTACCACTGAACCCAAACAAATTTTTCAGAAAAGCATGAAAATTTTGCAAAAGATTTTCAGAGTACCAAAAAATTATTTTGACACGTGCAAATATAAATATATAATAATAATAATATGGACATATAAATATGAACACAAAACTATTTATTGTTTCAAAATATAAACTTATTGAAAGTTCTAAATATAACAGATGAGCTTTCGATAAAAGAGGAAATAGATGAAAGCTGTTACATAATGGTTCTTTAAAGTTGATGACGTGAAAGCGATTTAAAAAAATACCTTTTCTAAAAATTTAATTTCAAAATGGAGGAGATGGATGAAGTCGTAACTGATCTAGCGAGAAAATATAAAAGTTAATAGAATAGGATAACGACGAAGTTTGAATGACTTGTATCATAATTTTGTTTTAATATTATTTAAAAGACAATGAAGTTTTATAACAGACATGAAAAATGTGCCACAGAAATGTTGGGATTTATGAATTTCAAATTTTGCCTTCAAAGAATTAATTCCATTATTAAGAAACAGGAAAGTTTCATTAGAGACAAAGAAAAGTGTTGAATTGAAAAAAGTTTTGAATGAAATTTTAATTTAATTTTGTTTTTTCAAATTTAATTTCCACATAGATGAAAAGTGTTGAACTGCTACGCTATATCACGATATGTAATTGTTTATAATCTCTTTTTTTTTAAATATCATAGATTATAAAATATAATCAACGAAAAATTTTTTAAGATACTTTGAAAAAGGATTTAGAATAAAGAAAGAAACAGTTGAAATTTAAAGGTTTAAATGATGAAAAGGAGCTATAGAAATATCGAAGGCAAGAGGAAACATTGAGTAAAAATATTTAACGAGCTTGATGCAAAAAAAGAAAATAAAGATTGAAAGAGAACAAAGTTAATGGGGAAAAAATTGAACATCTTTTTTAAAGAATAAAAGGAAAAAAGTTTAAAAATGGAGAACTTGACCGTTTGTCGAAGATTTTTTTTAAGTTCCTAATCATAAATGATTAACACTTGGGCGATCATCTATTTGATTTTCGATCAATAACTGATTATCTAAAATGTTTAAATAATTCCCACAAAGTAGATTTGCCTTTTTTTGATGGGTTAGAAGTTTAAAAGAACCCAGTCATAATTGAATTTATGAATTTATTTATGATAGTCATAAAAAAAAAAAATGGTTTTATACCTTTTGAGGGTATTTTTTTAGAATATGAATGTAATTGTTTCTTTTGGTTGGAAAAAAATCATTTTCTGATTTTCATCCAAAGCCGAAATCCATCACACCACAATGCACAAAATGTACCAACAAGTTACAATAATTATATTTACAAAAAGAATGAAGATAAATAATTTTATTTATGCTGCATTTTTAATAGTTCATTTTGTTCCTAAAAATCGTATTTTATTATTTTAAGTTTTCTTTAAGCTTAAATACAAAAAAAATGTTATAGTCTGATAATAATTTAAAAATTAATAAATTGGCAGAAAAAATTTCTAGATCCAGAAAAAACTCAATAATATATATAGTGAAAAAATAATATAAATTTTCAAGAAATTGATATCAATTGACACAATTTTGTTGAATACGAAACTCTATAAAAATTTGATGGACTTTCAAACTATAGTAAATGAAGCAAAACTCATATATAAAATCACATATGCCAAAGTTACAACACATTCTTAACAAATATTTGAATTGTTATTTATATGTAAAGTTTGTCTTTACATTACGACGAATTATATTTTAATTGCGCGGAATTTAGTCGTATGCAAAAAGAAATATTTATCGCTATTTTCAATGATTATATTAGAAATATAACACAAAATTAGAATTATGGTCTATATCTTTTTATAGATTTAAAAAAATTTTAGCATTTTTTAAGTCAGTCAGTTATATAATTATGTGTGAAAATTTAGGCGATCATGTATTTTGTTTTACATGATTAAAGGAGGAGATTTTTTTCCCGAAAGGTTGCCATTTTTTCTGCGGTAGACCAGTTTTTTCCAAGGCTTTATAAAAATGTCCTACTCATTTACCCATATTTTTTTTGAAAAGAAGAGGATTCATATTTTCCCAAAGGGTATTAAAACAAATGGAATGTAAAGGATCCGACAGGAATTCGTTTTTTAAGATCTGATTCCTCAATCCATTTTTATTCAAGATAAAATTCCCTGAACTGCACAAATGTGGCACATTTGAACGGTGGAAAAACGCAAAAATGTATTAAAAAATCTTGTCATTTGTAATTCATGTCTTAACAACTTTTCATTGTGTTTGCACGTATGCTTCCAACCCACTTTTAAGAATATAAAACCAACTTAATTTCTTTATTAGTCAAGTTTAGTTTTGTTACTTCCCCCATTTCCCTTTTTTTTATTTAAATTTTGTATGTTTTTTCAACATTGTCTGGACAAATTTAAACCATTCTTAAATTTAAGTCTGATACATATATATATATATATATATATATATATATATATATATATATATATATATATATATATATTATTTAGAGAATTTGAGCAATTATTAAATAATTTGATAGATATGTAGATCAATGTGTTTTTTTATCCTCACAATAAATCAATTATGAATCATAAAAATTTAACAATTTTAAAATTAAAAAAATTAAGAACCTAACTAAATCACAATTTCAATCATTTCCTAAAATGATTCCATAAAGACACCTGATTATTTTTTAATCCAAATAAACTTATATATAATATATAAACTATATATATGAATCAATAAATATCTAGGAAAATA